GCACCTTTTAAAAACACATGTTTGCATATGCCTGATTTTTCTGTGTATGCACATTTGTACGTGTGATATCCATGTGAGTATTTTTTCTATGTAATATTTATGCGCTTACTTATTTGATTGCGCAACTTCTAATGAAAGTCGACATTTACGCTAATTCAGCTGGTGTTATCCTGTGTAGGGCAGAGCACATAGCAACTTAATATGGTGCATACAAGTACTTACTTAAATATACATATGTTTATGCAGGTGTTCATTAGACCGCACCAGCTTACAAGTAATCAAAGGGAAAGTACGCCGTACACCACTTTTTCAACGGGTTTATTAGTTAGCCTCTCAGTAATGTTCGTGCCGAGTTTGGTGGGTTGGTAAAGCGGTCACTTGGGTAAAGCATTTCATAAAAGTGGGCGGTGCTACGCCAACAATTTTTTTTTTTGATTTTTTTAGCGTCAAAAATATATTTCTCATTGTAATTTTCAACAAAGTGGAACCAGTATTTTTTGGAAATAATTCAGTTACATGGGAGGTAGGCGTGATTACTGTCCGATCTCGTTGTCAACCTACATTGTATAAGAGCAACCTATGAACCAAATTTCGTTGAGATATCTCATATTTTACATGAGTTATCGCGTCCACGCACAGACGGACAGACTTGGCTTCATTAATTTCTCTATTCATTCTGAGCATTTTTGGTAGGTATAAGTATAGCTATATCGGTCTCGATCTAATTAGGCTGTTGCAAATAATCGTCATGTGTACAAAGTTAATATACCCTTGTGTACATGTATACTCTCCCTTCGAGAAAAAATCGTCGATATTTGATAATTTAGGATCTGGTCGTAAATGCCGGATTTACGAAGAAAAACATAAAAATACGTTGGCCAAACTTTTTTTCCACTTGACTTTGCGTACTTTTTTTTGCGGGTACGCTCTAATGTACATAATTACATACCTTTAAGGAGTGTATGTCCACACGCATGTACGCTGATTTAGATGCGCTACTACACAACGCCAACATAGAGACAGTTCCTATCTTCAGCATTAAGCACTCCATTGGGGAGTAACTTTTTGAGTAATTACTTTTGCAGCGGATTTGCACTGCAACGACCAACCAAACCCCAGCCTTCTGCGCTTAACCGTTGCTCCTCATACTGCATGTAAACGCATGTATTTGCGCGGCGCGGCTACTGTGCGATGAAAAGAAAAGTGAACAAGAAAAAAAAATGTTTTATTATTCCTCCTGGATATGAACATGCCATCCAAAGTGGCTGAGGGGTCCGCTTGCTTCGAGGCTATGTAAATGTACAACGCTAAGGCAAATGGACTATTAGGATGGCTGGCTATAACGCATACTACCCAGTGCTGGCTGTGGTCCGACTGAGCTGTCATAATTCAAACGATAATTATTAGCATCGGACGACTTTAGCAGTGACTTTTAATGGCTTGTAAGCATTGACTCGACGATGTGGCGTCCACGATGCGATGCTCGCAAGTTTGTTATCTACATGGCAGTGGTCGAGCAAGTTGGCAAACACGGTGGGGCGAACCTATGTACTCCGCTGCTGCATTTGCTTGCCTGTTCGGTATCTAAAAAAAAAGTTGTGTCGTCTTTTTTTTTAAGCTTTAAGCTTTCATCGCCGCTATGCCTGAATGCGATGTCACAACTTTGGGGTTAATCTAAATTTATAACTTAATTTTTTTGCCATTCAATGTTGAGCCACTCTCACTTGCTGTGTCTCTTTAATGCCTCGCCGCTCCACTACTCGAATGCTGGTCAGCTGATGTTTACAAACTCGTGTTTTAGCAGTGCAATTGTATGGCGTGTGGTAATGAAATAATTTACTTTTTCTGCGCGAAAGTTTCACTTTTTATACGTTTTCATATTTTATGCATTTTTTTTAGGCAACTTTTTGAGTTCTTGTTTTTACCAACCATGTAATAGCTATTAAATTATACGCACATTAAAGTTACTCGTTCGGTGGTGAGGGGTAAGAGAGCGCACGAGGCGGATGAACTGGATATGTTCGCCATGTTTTTTGTTTTTTCTTATTGAAAAGTTGAACACAACTCCTGTGGTATGCCACACATGTGTGTATGTACAAGAACTCGATGTACATGTGTGAGTATACATACATATATATATAGGAATTGGAAAAGGAAATACAAAGTTTGATAATTTAATATTTGCTAATTGCACGCTGTGGTGTCTTTTGCTGGATACTCATATAAAATGAAAGCTTCGCATTTCTGTGGCTATGGCGAACACACTTTTATTTTTGGATTTTAAATGTATTTGTTGTAGTGTAAGATGAATTGCTGAAGATAACAAATATTACATGCCTGTATACATACATATTTATTTATGTCTGGAATGTTTTGGGTTATACAAGAGTTAAGAAGAATATATTTAATTAAAATTGCTACTGAGCTAAAATAAGGAGCATCAAATGAAAGCACAAGGAGAGCTGTTTCTGGCAAAATGGAGATATATATACCTTGTTTATACCAACGCAAGAACCGCATTAACAAAAAACCAATTTGACTCAACACATATTTTTATAATATGGTAATAATATGATTTTCCAAAGAAAAAATACACGTTTGGTCGATTTTACCTCATGCCGCTGGATTGAGTAGAAAGGAATATGGCCACTATGGAGAAGTGGTATGATAGGAAATCAAACCTCCACATGCTTGCTAACTACTGCTGGACCTTGAAAGGCAAAAACAATTTTTTTTTGTTTCAAAAACTGGAGGGGCTAGAAAAATTTTGTAAATTCACTACAAATCAGCATCCGTAAGTCTATAAGATGAGGTCGGCCCCGTTTTTGAGATCAAATACGACCAAATTTTGTTGAAACGTGTAATCGGACACCCTAGTAAATATACAGACCATTTTGAAAAGTTCTAAACACACATGAAAGGTAAAGCCCAAAAGGTAAAGGCCAAAAGTTTCGAGGTAAAAATTTCAAGCACTATACTGTAGTAGTTTAATTAAAAATCAAACACAAAGAGAATTAAAAAAAAAAAAACAAATGAATGAGTAAATATCAATGTTCCTAGCTTTCTTCTTAGAAAATTCTCCTATGAATGGCCATTTGTAAGTAGACATTATATGCAGATTGCTTTTATTAACTTATTCGTTTTGTTCTCGAAAAACTGCGTACCAGGTTATTTTTGAGAAACAAAAAAAAAAAAATGTTTTCTGAAAGCCCCACAACCAGAAATGATTTCCAAAGTATAGGTGTTTCGACCACGTAAAGAGACCAATAAAGAGCTCGATAGGTTACGAAATAATCGGCTACTAAATGAGGGCCGGTATCCAACTGTGTATGTAGACGTCCTCCATTCTGAAGCTAACAGTATCGGATTAAACTATTCGAAAGGCAGAGCGTTGCGCGCAGAACACACTTAAACATACCGCTCGGGTCGATGACGGCCGCGATAATCTTATCCTTAAAGAGGTGATGGTTGTAACTTTTATTTTGTGTCTGTAAGCTTGGCCCGAAGTTTAATAATAGGCAAGGGTGTAAGGAAAAAGGCGATAAAGGAGCCTCGAAAAGGAAGATCTGGATCGGAATCACTTCTGAGCTACCTCTCCTTCACCTCATTTAACTCAATTTCAAGTTATTGCTGGGATCTAAGATTGTTGAGGTTTGTTCATCGATTCGAAAGGAACCGAAAAACGGTTCTGAAAGAATAGAAACTAGTTTCCAAAAGAGCCGAAAATCGGTATCGGTAGAACCGTAACTCTAATTCAAAGGAAAGAACCCAAAAACGGTTCCGGAATTACCGAAACTCAATTCCACAAAGACCGAAAAACGCAAGAACCAGAGCTCGATTGTAAAAGATTGGAATAACGTTTCCAGAAGAACCCAAAAATGATCCCGGAATAACCAAAAAAAAAATAAGTAACAAAAAGAACTGAAATTTCGGTTCAAAGAGAACCAAAAATTGAGCCTATTGAACAGAAAATCGGCCATATTGGCAAAAAAGTTGTTTTGGCATAACGTCTAAATATGACTATTAATATATATTATTATATTATATATATGTACATAAAAGAAAATTCTGGCTATCAACGCAGCTCAAGGTCATCTTTTGCAAGCGTATAAAATAAGCAAAAATTCGTGTTAAAGTAAAAGTGTGATTTCAGATTTTTAGCATTAATTCTGCTTAATTTAAAAAAGAAAAAAATTAGTTTTTATTCAAATTTACTATGATTTGTAAATGTATTAACTATTCAGTATTTTTGCATAAATAATTAGTGAGCAAAAAAATGTCGGCAATCTAATTTATGCCACATTTAAGCCTTCTGTCATGTATATGTACTATCAAAATGGGCTTGAAAATTTAAACTACACATATTTATATATATGTATGTATGTATTTAAATAAGTTTTAACAAAATTATATATATATTTTTTCATAAATATTTAAATGTATAATTTACCAAACGTGCTTAATTTGGTTTATTTTATTTTCAGGCTGCAGCAACAAGCCGCCACATTAAATACCAGTCAAGTGAATCAGCAAATAATTTAAATAAATCAAAGCTTGTCAGATATTCTCCAGAGTATTGCCTGCAGCTGCGTACGACTTGCACACCTGCTCCACTTTCGATTGCTCATCACTGTGTATGCGAATGTGAGTGCGGGTGTGTGTTTGGGTGTACGCATGCACAAGGATATATATGTATGTCATTTTGTGGCGAAAACGTGTTAAAAATTAATTTGCATAAATAGGAAATATTTGCATTGACAGAGCAAATATTTACAAACATATGTGCGTTGAAGCACCAAAAAAAAAATTCTCAATAAATAATAGCGAGTCACAATTGTTGAAAAGTGCAAATTTCAACGCGTACTTAACGTGATGATATTTATTTATTTATTTGTGATAAAATAAGTAATTGATTAATAAAGTGGAAAATTAACAAATACATACCGCAAACATACACACACACACACATACATAAGCGAAAGCGGTAGCTTGTGAAAGTGTGGGTGCAAATAGTGAAAGAAGGTAGTGTGCGCCGCCTAGTTGTGTGCAACGATATTCACCGGGAGAGCGTTTGCGCTTTTTCAAGCCACAGCTAATAAGAGGAAATGAAGTAAATTTTAAAAAGGCAGGAAACTCTTCAAAAAAAAAAGGGGCTTTTGAACGCTGAGTAAGGCTGTGAGAAGCAGAAAAACAGCATTTTAAAAGCGTAAATTAAATAACAAAGCCACTTTGCTAAGACTTAAGCGCTTTTATTGTTATTGCTTAAAAGCCAGTTTCTATAACACGGAAGTGGTAACACAAAGCAAGTATTAAATTGGCAGCAGAAAAAACGGCGCTTTCGTTCATAAGAGCATATACACAAACGAGAAAACAAAAGAGCTGAGAATAAAAACAAAATAGACGGTCATCAAACACGAAAAATAATTAACAAAGAAAAAAATTGCACAGCGCGCTGCATTACAAAAGCAACATTTGAACATACATACATACATATATACAAATACACATTCAAGTGTACCCATTTCGCTAACAATGCGCTTAATTTCGCATAGTATACATTGTGGCGCGCAAGCATATGCTGCCGTGGCGCTGCGAACACAATCAACCAGACCACTACTACTACCGGTGCCACCACCGCCGCTATAAAATCCGCCGTTACGAAACCGCGACCGACTCAAGCCGCTACGAAAACAATTGCCAGCGGAATGCGTAGTCAACGCACAGCCGACACACCATTTGCCGCTCGCATTGACTCGTCGACGCCTTTGGCTGCTTCACATTTGGTGGTTAGCTCTTTGGTGCTGCCGTCTGCAATGACGGCTTCAGCTGCTCCAACTACATCACCATCGCCATCGTCATCGTCGCCGTCGTCGTCGTCGTCGTCGTCGTCGTCGTTCACTTTTACGTCATCCACTTTATCTCGACGCCCCTACAGTGCATTCAGAATGAATTGCCCCATTTTAATTGTAATTAGCCTTGGTTGTATCCTGCATGCCAGTCTGCTGTGGAGCGGCGTAGCTGCAGCAATTTCAAATCGAGGTAAGTGCCAGCGACGTATTGCTGCTAAGTGAATGTGTGTAAAGTTATAGGTTAGTTGCAGGTAAAAGCGCTGAAGATATTTGCTTGAAAAGCACGCTCCATTTGCGTGAATTGTCTAAAATGCATTTAGAGCAACTGCGATGTGCTATATTATTATTATCAGCATCATGAAAGTATGCACAACTAAAATTGGATTTAAGTAGGCTACGTCTGCGTTTCTTAATTCATTATATGGCGTGCCATTAATTTGCTTAATTTTTCAAACTAGAAATTTCCTTAGACACAAAAAATGAAGCAATATTTTCAACGAGAAAGTAAAATTTAACTAAGTATGCATCTAAGTACACCTCGAAAAGCGCATTGTTTGTGCACGCATAATTTAAAGTACCTACCCGTGTGTGTGTATACCCTTTCAAAGGTACATAGGCTTAGTATTTACCCTACATATGCTTTCATACACATACATACATACATATTCACTACTCGAACATAATAAAAAAAACAGGAAGTTACGTAAACCGCGCACAATCTCCGCTTAACGCTACGCTTCTGTGTATTTATTTAGAAAACCGCAAAAGAAATATATGTATACCACATACATATATAGAAAGTGAAAAATGAATACGCTTAAATAAAAATGCGAGAAAAATGCGAATATAATTCCCCTTCCTTTGCATAGGATAATCTGCTACCTTGCCACTATCTGCCAGCCACAGCAGCACGTGCGTGTGCATACAAACTATGTATACCCGTACATTGCACATATGTATGTATGTACACACATAAGCACATTGTTTGAATTTGCTCCGCTTTAGTAACATCATATTTTTCTTTTAACAGCTGCTGGCATTTCCTTTCGCCTCCTTCTTTGCACACATTCATATTTTTTTCATAATTCTATACTATTTCTACAATCGCCATTCTCTCTCCAACCAGCTTTGTTTAACGCATCTCTTTGTTTACTCATAAACGCGCAAATTCTAGCCGGGGAAGTAGGTTGCGCAAGGTCCGCTGCTGCGGCGAGTAGTGAATTCGCTTGGCATACCAAATAGTTGCTAGTCGCTCTTCCCTTCTTCGCACTCCTCAAGGCACTATATGTTACTTATTTCATTGCGGGCATACACTCCATCCAACTTAAAAGCGCATGCTACTGAAAAACCAAAAACCACTCAGCACCTCAAATCGCACTGTGGTACTTCAAAGCGTGTTCACTAGGGTGGAACCAAGGAAAAGTTTTAAATGTTAAGCTCTCATCACCTAGGATATTTTTATTTGAAAAATAAGAATACCCGTATTTTTTTATTATTTTTTTTATTAGTAGTGGGATTCACATATTTTTGAAATTATAAAGTCCTTAAAAAAATCACGCGGTCAGATAAATGCGCATTTATATGCAGTTAATTATATGTAATATGAGGTGGACTTTTATAAAAAAATGCAAACATTGAATACACAATAGAAATATAGATAAATCTGGTCGAAATAGGGAGCTTATTTTGTTTCTGCCACCAGCATTATAAAGTTATTTCAACCAGAAAATAAATTTTTTGATTACATTTTTTTTTCATCGAGCTTTTTTCGACTTACCTTAAGTCATATATCGATAAAAATATTGATATCAATATCGATAGCAAATCAAATAACAATATCGATAACCAATCAAATAAAAATATCGATAACAAAATCGTTAAAAACAGGGATTACAACATCGATGACAATTTTGCTTAAAATAACGATAACAATATCAATAAAAATATCGATTATTATATCGATAAGTTCCAAAAATATCGATAACAAAAACGATAAAAATATCGATTATTAAATCGATAAGTCCCGAGAATCCCGAAAATCTCTAAAATCCCAAACTATTTGCCAGATTAAGTCTCCGTGTTTCTATCTATATCCTTTTCTCTATAATTAACTTTATTTTAATCTTTCTTCCTCTATCTTCATCTTTACTTTTATCGGTATCCTCATGCTCATGTTCTTCTTTATATTTATCTTTGTTTTTTACTTTAGAGTTTATGATTTTCTTCATCTACATATTTGCCTTCACCTTTGCCCTTTTATAAGTAAAGTGTTTAAATTTACATTGGTCGTTATTTTTGCCTTTAGCTTTACGCATCTTTTTTTTGTATGTTAACTTTTGCCTTTATCGTTTTCTTTTCTATGTATGTACGTACTCACCTTTACTTTCATTCTTGAATTGGCCTTTTTCTAAGTGTTATTCTTCAACCATTTATTAGCAAGTTTTTGTTAAACTAATACAATATTCATACGCAAAAGAAGCTTTTGTTTCAGCCCCAACCATTTCCGTTGCACCAGTTTCATGTGCAATTTCCGTTGAATTTTCCAGCCGACCCCGCTTGAATAAAAAGCAGGTTCCAACCCCATTTACCTATTATTTAATTGATGAAATTTTTTTATGTTACGTTTCTGAAAAATAATAAAAAATTCCCGGGATCTTAAAAATCGAAAAATTAACATCCCTAGTCAGCGCCTTCTCTCAAGAGCCACTAACAGTTCCTTAAGGACAACAACCCAAAGCTACGACAAAGCAACTCCACCTGGCGAAATAGATGTATATATTTTTGAACCCCACGCCCCCTACAGGCTGAGTTTTTTTGGAGGTTTTTCTGTCCATATAGTAAATAACATACATACGTCCTAAATATGAACCAACATCAAAATCAAATATCTAATGTTGAATAAGAAAAGTACAATCAGATCCTCCCTGCTTAATTTTCTGCACTGCATCTCAACATCTAGTCATTTACTTAGTAGTAAGACCGCAGCGCAACAACAATCGCGTACTGCCAATGGCAACAATAAAGTGGGTGCAGCGAACTACCATACGAAGTTGCAGTACCACCAAGTAACTCGTAGGCAGTTGTGGTTGGCGCTGGCCTGAATTTGTCACACGCAAGCAATATGCTACTTACTATCTCCACTCTACTCTGCATGGTTGCTGCATTGCGGCGCTGCTGGTCGGGCGATGTGGTTGAACGCGTGCTGGGCTGTGTGGGGTATTACATTGTGTGTTATATAATTGGTACAAATGTATGTAAGTCGGTACCTTTTGCGCTCAAAATTAAGAGTTTGCTGCTTTACTAAGCAAGAATTTCATATGAAAAAAAAAAAAATACCACCGGCAATTTCTCTTCGCTAAAGCTTACCAACGTGCCTACTAGGGATGTTTTGAATGCCATATTTTACTTATTCGCGAATGCGAATGTTAGGAACAACATTAAAAAAAATATAATCAACTTAAGTCATCGTTTTTAGTACTTAAAAATTTTGTAAAGAAATTAATTTTGCTGCCTTTTATCCCAGGAGGCGATTTCTTAGAAGCTCTTATATAAGGCCGGCTGCACTGAACAATTACTCACTTGGAACGCTGGCTGGTGGAGCGCTCAGATATTTGCGGGCCAGCTTTGGGAATTCGTCGTATTTTAGTTTAATTTTCCACCAACCGACAGGATTTTCAACGAGATGAGCTCGTTTTTCTTTAAGATAGACCTTCAATTGAGATTTAGTTTCACATTTTTTAATGTCTCCAGATTCTACATTCGAGCCTTCGCTTTCGCTGGCGGAATCTAAAATTATTTCTAGGTTGCTAATAAGACTTTTAGCAGTACTTGTTGAAGGCCCATCAATGTTGCTTGATATAATAATTAACCCTTTTGCGCCTGAAGCTAAAAGCTGGGTATTGTGCGCACCCTGGTTAAACAGACTTTAAGCCATTTCAATAATATTAGAGTGGACTCTCTGCCCAGGTACTCATTTGCATTCGCAAAACAAGCGCATCATTTCATGCGAATGCGAATGCAAATATTCGCAACATCCCTGGTGCCTACATATATGTATGTATATGTTGCATACTTACTTTCAACTGAAACTAAAATTCTAAACAATTGTTTTTATTTTTTATGTGCCACCACATCATGCGTGCGCGGGCGTTGGAGACAGCTTGCATTAAATGTAATCCGCTGTGCGGCGCACTGAGCATCTACACTTTGAGTCTAAAGTGTGTGTGCTCGCTTGTGTATGCTCAGATTTCCTACAGCCACTGATAGATACCGACCAACTCTCTCCTTGTCTGTGGTTTGAGTTTCTTTATGTACTTACATATATATTTTGTATACTTTGTCGTACTTTTTCTTTATGCTATAGTTATTTACTTATTTTGGCTTTTTATTTAACCTTATTTATTTTTTCCGACCTACTACATTGTATACTGCGCACGATTCACAGAGTGCTCAAGTACGTGCGGTCGCTGTTGTTTAACTTTTAACTTGACACAAATAGTGCAAAGTACCTGCGTACTTGTGCCAAAAGAAGTAAATTTTCAAACAACTATTATACAATTAAAAAGTTGCTAGCGCTGCAACGTGTGAAAAATAGTTAATTTAAAAAAATAAAAATAAAGATGCGTTGTAATTTTTTTTCTGATTTACTTGCATGCATTACTTTCAGTGCTGGTGAGTTTGTGTTGATCTGGTTTGCATTGCAGTTTGTTTTACATTTTGCTCTGTTCTGGTTACGTTAATATTTTTGTTTTAGTTTTGAAATTATTTACATATGTGGTTTTATTTTTATATACACATTTCTATTTAAATTTTTACCTTTATTTCGTTGTCACAAACTTTTTACAAGCAATAATAAGTATGTTACTCATACGCCCAGTGCGCCGCCTACAATGTGCTGTACACATACACATACATACATGAGGTCGCTACCATGTCAAACTATCGAATTATTTTATTTTACGTTATTCGTCGGCAAGTAAACATGTACCCAAAAAGGACAACAATTCCATTAATCAAATGTTCAGATATATATTAAACTCTTTTTATCCTACTGTTAACTGTTTTACCTAATCTTGCTATTTCTTCACTCGTGTTCACTCTACGAAATCACAAAATAAATTACAGAAATCTAAGAACTCCGCAACACACATGCAATCGATTGCAAGAACCGAAGAGAAACACGAAAATTCT